AATTTTAGCTGAGGAACACCGACATTTGTCTTACCAAGAACGTTGCCGGCTTACAGGCCTCGATCCTTTATGGTTCCGTAGATTACAAAAGGGACTATTTTTGCTATTTAAACTCTTATATAATCACACATTTAACCCACTCACCTCTTTAAGACATCATATCCACCCACGACGTAACAGTCACCGTGAGGTCTTCTTATTTCTGCCTCTGGCACGTACTGTTAAATATCGTCGGTTCTTTTCTGTAAATGCAATTGCTATTTGGAATAAGTGTGAAAACTCTGCAAAATTATCCTTTATTTAAGAGAACTATTACTCGATTTTTGCATTCAGAAAAGCTCCCACAAATTTTGGGTGCTGAAAACTCTGATCGACTGTACCGTAGCGACGGCGTTTGTGGTCTCTGAACACTATGGCCGGTCTCACCAGCTGTTCCTCAACGCCTCTACTTTGGCTATCCCCAACTTCATGAAAGGAATTTGACGTCCGAAAATCTCCGATACCGTGCAACCTCCCCCCTTCTTGACGGTCGATATTCTACCACCGCCGGCAGTTTTTTCTCCTGAGCCCTCCAAACCATAAAAACCACCATCAACTGTATTTTTATCCCTTTAGCTCAGGAGTTTTTTCACTGCCGGTCGGATTTATGTTTAAACGCTTCCCTTGACAATGCCTGTAAACTGGCATTCAATAAAATTTATTTATAACACATTGCAGGAGGGCAACAACCCCAAAATTTCCCAAGCGAAAGCCAGCATATCATAAGCCTCTTTTGGATCCACTCTCTCCCCCAAATTTAAATTACCCAAATGCCGATATGACATGATCCCAGGGGAGCATCAAAGTCGCAATAAGCCGTACCAGTGCAGACGGTGAAAGAAGAATTGGCCTATAAGTCGTAAGAGGAATGTCTCTAAAAAAGGCGTTCCAGATTCTACATCATGCATTCCGAAGAAAAGTTGGTGCACAATCTAGATCTTTTTCGTGATTATTCTAACACTGTCCTGTAGGATGGAATACTAATCCCCATACCCCACTTTTTTCCACTAGACAAACCACGATCACGTCCTAACCAGTGGTCATTATCAAAGTCTCTGGAAATCATTCTGGAACGTAAACTCCAAGCAGCGCGTCAGCTAGAGTAATATTCTTGAGGAAGTGTTTTTCAACCGGGTTGAAAATAAGAGTTATAAGATCTGAATTTATGGAGGGGTGGACAGGACGAGAAATAACTTGAAATCATACATAGTCAAATATCAATGCATCACTCCTGATTGTAAAGTCTTTCTGAATGAAGGCTGACCTACTCGTTTTCTTATATGGACGAACTTTGGAAATTGGGTGGTTAAGAAGGATCAGGCATCATATCTTTCGTAGAAACGCGACTTGCCGCAGATATTGCGGAATCCGAAATATCACTCCGAAGATATTAGTACGTCAGAAAAGATAGATCAAGTATGGAATAAGGGACTTTAGTTTGTGTCACTTTCAAGCAAACCGCTATCATCGAAGTACGTCATACACCAAAGGAAGTGGAACTGTTAGTCACCGCTGGTTTCGCTGACTACATCCGGCTGATCACGTTATCGGTGACATACCGCTCACCAAATCAGAGGCCCAAATGAGAGCTTCATCCGAAAAGGGAATTTTGCTCGGTCAGCGAGAATATGGGTATCATTGCCGTTGGAATTTAATGGAGAAGGCGTATTATTTATATTCTTATTATTGTTATTATTATAGCATCTCTTGGGTGCTGTCAGTTTCCTTAGGGCTTTGGAGAAAACTAAAACAAACTCGTCCAATGTGGCTGCACCTCAACTACATTTGATTCCGATGCTTGTCCAGCAAGCAGTGAGCGATTTAGAAGCTCGTTTTAAGTCGGAAAAACCTGAATCCCATGACATAATAATAGCAAAAATTCAGAACAAACTTAGATATCCATTGTAGAGATTTAAGACTTGTTTTAGCAGTTTTGAAGTTAAGAATATTTCGCCTTGGTATTGCGGGGCATGTGTGATCCGCGCAGGACCTACCAGATAATTTCCGTCACAAATCGCCGCATTAGGTAACGAACGACCTTATCTGTCTAAACTTTACCCGTGCAGCAGGAACCAGAAAAGGGTAATAAGCAAATTATCTTAACTTTATGTCCCCTGGGGAGGAGAAGAACATAATTGACTTGCATGACCGACTACTAACAGAGTCAAGCAACCACACTGTTCTGCTATTCGAGGTGTCAGCGTTCCCATATCTAAGTCTATCTAAGGAACATGGCCCGGAGGCCAACGAATGACCGCCGGAAGCTCCCAACTATGTTGGACAACAAAGCTATCGGAGCACCTTGTGCACCGAAACCAAGCCAGAATATTCAAGAGGAGGCGGCGGAATAAACCAAGGTCAGTTTTTTCGACGAACAACATGGAAACACAACACGAACATAAATGAATCGTGCACGGATCTGAGTTTCTGTAGCCCAATAGCTAGTTCATCCGCAGAAGCGTGCCATCTTTCATCTGCGTCCAACCAACTCTCATTCAAATGAGAGCCTGAGGACATATCCCCTGAAAAATATAGGACTCCCGCAGAATCTTCACAGAAGGATCTCAGGGTTTGGATACAGAATAACCTGAAACCAACACTGCAGTGTTACAAGGCTGTAAAAAACGCCATGGGAAGGCTGCCTGCAATTAAAGGGACTTTCGTAAACTTTGACCAAGACCTTTTTGGGAGAGTTTACGGCACATTTGCTCAGCCCCACATAGAATATGGCATACAAGCATGGCGACCATGGCTAGTAAAGGACCAAGCATGCCTCGAACGGGTACAACGACGTGCAACCAAGCTGGTATACGGTCTATAAAGCCAATCCTACACAGACAGACTGGATTGCCTTAATTTATTCCCTCTGTGTTACAGGCAGCAAAGAGGTGATCATATCCTCGTCTAAAAGGTAACACATGGCCTTGAACATGGGCTTAGATTTGAGGACATGTTTCAGTGGCACCTTTCACCCAACCTTCGTGGTCACTCGATGATGTTACGGACAACAATGTCTCGGCTAAATCTTCGTTCTGAAATTTTCACGCAGAGGGTAGTGGAGAAATGAAACGATCTCCCCCAGGCTGTCGTGGAGGCTACGTCTCTGCAACTCTTTCAGAAACGCTTGGATGATTATTTATGTCCTGTGTTTTTCCTTGACAGTCTGAATCTGAACTAATACCCCACCACCCCGCAAATATTTTCTCTGATACACTGCTACTCAAATTAATCAAGTACTGTTTTAATAGCGAATAATTTTATTGCTCGTGTACAGTTATTTCTAACGAGCTGACATGTAATCAATAGGGTTTTCAAAGGCTTTGCCTATTATCCTTGCCAAATAAACTGAAATAAACTTATACATGGGAGCGAAACACTTCAAAACGTGAAGATCAACTTCTTGGAAAGAAGTCTCGCGTATACCATCGAAACGAGACTGCATAATTTGGTAAAGGACCACTGCTACTGCGCAGGACTAATGTCCTCAATTGTATTCTCAGAGAAACGGCAAACACAAACCGCCGAAGTGAATGAAATCCGAACCGCAGGCTTTTTTAAAAAAGAAATAGTCTATGGAAAAACTGTAGGATAACCAAACCAACTGAGCCTTTGTAAAAGTGGGAAAACTAGGCTTCGAAGTCAATTCAGGCCAAAAAATGACGCTGCAGTGCCCCAGAATCTTATAAAGCCATATATGACCTATTTTACAAGTATAATTGGAGACCTAATCTCCTCTCTTATGTGTCCGGACGGAACACTGCAGAGTGATAACTTAGTATCAGCATCAGTATGAGTATCAGTTTATTAAGGGAAATATAGGCAAGCGCCTTTGAACTCCCTATTGTTTACAAGTCGTCGGAGAAAAACATGGATAAACGGGAAGATGAAAAAGGAATTTTGTACATACTCGCCGACAGCTGACAGCTAGTCTAAAAAGAGTAATCATTAACGGTTACTTACTAATTACAAGTAGTATAAACACGTATAATATGGTACCGGTTTATGTGAGTGGATGTGAGGGTGGTAATTGGGAAGCTTGATGCATGTCAAGTCTACACTTGAAGGAATTTACACAGGGGGAGGTTACAACATCGGTAGGCAGGGCATTCCACTCTGCAACCACTCTGTTACTGAAAAAGAACTTCCGTCCATTGATTCTTGATTTCTCTGCGCGTAGTTTTAGGGGATGACCGCGCAAAGTGGGCGTGTTAGCTTGGGTGAAGTAATCAGTGGGATCTAAACAACAGTCTAGGCCGTTGATGATGCGAAATGTTAGTATGAGGTCACCACGTAATTGCCTGTAGGAAAGGGGAAACAGGTTGAGGATTGACAGTCTGGTTTTATAGGGCAGTGCTCCCAGACCTTGTGTCATTTTGGTCGCCCGTCTCTGGACTTTCTCCAAGACGGTATAATCCTTGGCAGTCCAGGGTCTCTACGCCTGTATGGCGTATTCTAGATGAGGTCGCACGAAGGTGCCAAATATTTTGGAAAAGCAGTCAGGGTCAGATCCCATAAATGCTCGCCTAATGAGTTGCAATGTGGCTGTAGCCGATTTAGCCGCCTTCGCGCAGTGCAGTGTTGGTTTGAGTGTAGATGTAATCCATACACCCAGGTCCTTCTGACTGTCAACCTGTTGCAGTGGTGTGCCGCGTAGAAAGTAGGTCCTGGGGCTGGGGGCTCTGAAGCCGCCGAGTTGAAGAAAGGCGAAGAAAGGGCATAAGCCAGCGCTTCGACCAGTCTTCGAGCCTGTTCAAGTTTGCTTGCAGGTGGTCTGCGTCTGCCGCATTGTGAATAACTTTCCACAATTTTATGTCGTCGGCAAACAGGATGGCATCACAGTCTAGGTCATTGACGCAGTCATTTATGAAAACGAGAAATAACGTGGGACCTAAGACTGAGCCCTGTGGGACGCAACCCACCACGCTTACATCTGAAGACTGTTAACGCCCGACATGCACTCTTTAGGACCGTCCAGCCAATAAGCTCTGGATCCATACAAGAAGGCGTCCACGAATTCCAGCGTTGCGCAGTTTGTACAGGAGACGTTGGTGAGGAACGCTGTCGAAAGCCTTTTTGAAGTCGATGTAGATGGCGTGCACCACATTGCCTTCATCACGTGCTTTGGTCCAGAGTTCAAGCGTAAAGAGCAGATTCGTGAGGCAGGACCTACCACTTCGAAAGCCGTGTTGGGCAACGGAAAGGAGATGGTGCTGCTCGAGGAACTGCACCAAGGCCTTCTTATTGATCTTCTCCATGATTTTGCAACGGATGGAGGTAGGACTCACTGGCCTGTAGTTATTCACAGACGCACGACTTCCACCCTTAAAAAGCGGAGTGATGGTAGCGGACTTTCAGTCAGAGGGCAGGCATCCAGTAACGAATGACGTTTGAAAGATCAAGGCTAACGGCTTGGACATTTCGGGAGCTAGCTCCTTCAGCAGCTTGGCCGGGATTGCATCAGGGCCTGGAGAGGTCGATTCTTTTAGGTTTAGTAACTCATTCCGAACAATTGTTCCGGTGAAGAAAACGGCTTCGAGGGTAGGCGTTTCTTCGTCTTCATAAGCGTGTGAGGAAAAAGCAGGTTCACTTGTCACGACTGATCGGAAGAACTGAGAGAGATGTTCAGCCTTATCCTTGTCATCGAAGATTTCCACACCCTCAGCCGTTCGCAGCAATGGGACAGGGTCTTTGTTCCGTGTGCTCTGTCTTATGTAGTTGTAGTTAAAGTATTCATTCTTTTTAATTTATTGCAGGTGGTCTTTGTTCGACAGTATTTCTTTTCTTCTTCTCCACTCCTTCACCAATTGATCGCCCCTTTCTTTCCACTACAGAGGAAATGTTATTTTCGTTGACCCTGGTAAGGGCTGAACTGCTCCGATGAAAACCTACAAAATCGCCTGCCCTGGACCGCATGTTTACACTCACAATTCGAGGACTTGCAAGGGAATCGTATGAATCACTGCCTACTATATTTCAGGAATAATTCATAGAAGACGAGCCGTCGGAAGAATGGAAGAGCGATCTCATCCCCGATTTATAACGAAGGCTAAACAATTAACTCCCAAAAATTGCCATCCATACAATTCAACATGAATCTCGTGTAAAATAGTAAAACATAGTATCAAGAGACATTTAATTCAATACCTGACTGTAAAAAAGAACCTTTGCGATGCCTATAATGGCCTTTATTGGGGACGCGCTTGCCTCACGAGTATTTTTTACTCACATGACAAATGGATGAAGGCCGCAGACAAAGGCAATCCAATGGATCCAATGTTTTTCACTTCGAGAATTCTTTCAATAGCGTAGAATACCAAGTCTTTTCAGAAAAGACTTGGATAACAGGGACCCAAGGCAGAATGTTCGAGTGGATCGGAAGTTTCCTGCTCTTCAGAGACATAGAGTTATTGGCAATTACACCTCAGAATGGGTGAAGACTGAAAGTTGTCTCACGGGGTTCTGTTTTATACTAACTTCCCTTTCTGATATATGTGAATTACTACACCAAGTAACCAGATTGTGAGGCCGTCATATTCCCTGATGGCATAAAAATGCATGGTGAATTAAAGCGTGCGTACAACGAGAAACAAGTTGCGATCGAAAATTGTCAAGCCGAGTGTTTAGTTCACCAACTGGCTTATAAGCCTAGATGTGTCAAAATGTGTGGTCCTACATCTGAACGCCGGACGCAACCTCCCCCGAAACACCGGTTCTCTATTAACAAGACTGCATTAAAAGATTTAGAAGCGCTCAAAGATCTGTGCGCGTGGAAGATCACAAATCTAATGCCATCGGAACGCTGTAAGAAGTTGGTCCAGAATGCAACCGGCATGCTGCACTGTCAGTCAGTTAGTGTATTTTAGGTAAATAGGCTTACGCCTTTGAACTCCCTATTTGTACATAAAACATCGATAAATAAGCAAAATATGAAGAAGTCACAGCATAAAGTGCATGCAGACACTGATTCACATATGTCACTGGTCTCATGGCTAAATAGTCACATAGTCCACTTGTTGCTACAGCATATGTCTGTCAAACTGACATTTAAATGTCGCTACAGATTGAGACATGACAACCGTCTCGGGCAGGTTATTCCACGGTTCCACGACACGGTTGGAGAAGAAATATTTTCTCACCTTCAATCTACCCTGGGGCACTCGTAGCTTGAAGGGATTTCCCCGGAGGTTGTTTGTTGTGGCGAGTTGGAAAAAGCCATCGCACCGAAGGGCGCAGTCCAAGCCACGCACGATACGGCAAGTTTTTATCATATCTCCGCACAACTGCCTATAACTCAGATGATAGAGTTTAAGGTTAGTTATGCGAATCTCGTATGGAAGTGCACTTTGACGTCTTATTAATTTTGTTGCTCGCCTCTGCACCCTTTCGAGCAGATTGTAATCCTGATGCGTCCATGGTCCCCGGGCCTGAATTGTATATTCGAGATGCGGCCTTACAATCTTCATCGAAAACTGCGAATGCCCGCTTGATGGCATATAGCATTGAAGTTGCGGCCTTGGCCGCCTTACAACATTGTGTATAAGGGTTTCGGCTGTCTGCAATCCAGACTCCGAGATCTTTCCGCGTTTTTGCATCCCGAAGTGGTATTCCGTTCACATGGTATTGCCGCGTACGAGGGGTCTAATTTCTGAGGCGCAGTATGGTACATTTGTTCAAATTGAAGAAAAAGAGCCATCTGCAGGACAACTTGTCCAATCAACAAAGATTTTCTTGGAAGTTGGCCTCCTCGGCAGCATTCTGGATGATTTTCCAGATTTTTATGTCGTCCGCAAACATGGCACTATCGCAGTCCAGCCCGTCTACACAATCATTCATGAACAAGAGTAAGAGGGTTGGTACCAGCACCGAGCCTTGTGGGAATTCACTCTCTATGAATGTGCGCCTTGATTGCTGTCTTTCTACGCAGACAATTTGGGAGCGGCCGACGAGGAAGTACTCTATCCATTTGAGAAGTTTGCCACCGATGACCATTATCCTCAACTTGTGCAGGAGACGTTGGTGCGGGACACTGTCAAACGCCTTCCGGAAATCAATATAGGCCACGTGCACAGTGTGTTTTGCGTCCAGTGCTCTTGTCCAATTTTGAACTGTATATAGTAAGTTCGTTACACATGATCATCCCCTACGGAAACTATATTTTGCATTAGAAGAAGAGGTTGTGGCTATCCCGATAAAACATCAACTCCTTTTTTATGGTGTTCTCCATCACTTTGCAGTAGATTGATGTCAGACTGACGGGTCTGTAGTTCGTTGCAAGAGCACGACTACCACTTTCGTAAAGGGGTGTAACGTAGGCCGTCTTCTAGTCTGTGGGAAGGATTCCAGTATCGAACGATTCCTAGCACAGAAAGCATAGTGATTTGGCCGGCTCTCGCGCAAGCTCGAAAAGCAACTTTGCTGGGATCTCGTCCGGACCGGAAGATTTAAATTCCCTCAGGTTTTTTAGTTCTTTGAAAATCGCTTCTTCTCGAAACACGATATCTTCGATGGTGAGATCTCCCATGTTCTCGGAAACAGTTGGAATAAAGTCTGTTCCTCTTGTGAAAACGGATTGGAAATATTGAGAAAAATGCTCACCTTTATTTTTACTGTCCGATATCTCCAAACCGTCATCATCCCTCATGACAGGAATGAGATTCCTGTTACGTGTGGTCTCCTACAAATAGCTGTTGAGCAAGTTCGGATTTTTAACGGCTCAGTGGATCAAATTACCATCGAAATCCCATCGCCTCCCGAAAATCAGACTTTTCCCCTTATTTCTTTGAACTTTCAATTCTGTAAACGCTGCAATGTTGTTTTTTCGCGAAATTTCATCCAGAAATTTCCTTTCTTGTTGATCTCCTTTTTGAGTTCTCGTGTTAGCCACTGGGGGCGGTTGGATGTCCTAGGCCTTGATACAGGACAGTGGCTCTTTATCAGATGCAGCAACCGATCCTTGAATACATTCCAGTCCTCGTTAACGTTTCGGGAGATGAGAACATCCCAGTCTATTTGTGATGCCTCAGCTCTCATTTGGCAAAAGTCCCTTTTCCATATATTCGGCCTCCTATCGTCTTTTGTATACGGTTCAGAATACAGCAGGTACTCCCATAAAAGTACTGCATGATCACTTCGACTGAGCGGGGGTAGGTAGTACACCTCGTCCATACTCTCAGGATCTTTTGTGAAGACGAGGTCCAGACAACTGGCCTGTTGCCCTCCACGTGCTCTAATTGGAGATAGGATACGTTGTGTGAGAAGAGTTTCTATGGTTGTCTTTAGTAGACGGTAATCGAAGGCATTCTTCGAGCACTTTGCATGCACATCGCTCCATTGAATGCAGGGTACATTAAAATCCCCCATGAGGACAATGTCTGGTCGACTGGCGATTTCTTTTATGCTTTCCAGTAGACAATTATCTGAGTCGGGATCTACCTGAGGGAGCCGGTAGATAGTTACGACTTCGAGGGACTGAGACTACCGTGCCTTTATAGTCAGCCAAATTGCCTCTGTGTCGTCGGAAATCTTGTCGGTTCTCTCACACACTGTTAAGTTGTTTTTGACATACATAGCGACTCCTCCGCCTCGGCGGCCTCTCATATCTCTTCTAAACAATTTGTATCCCGTTAATGCTACCTCGCAATCACCTATGTTCTCTGACAGCCACGTTTCTGTTATTGCTACAACATCGGGAGAAGTATCAGCTACCTGTATTCTCAGTTCGTCAAGCTTGGAAAACAGACTCTGAGCATTGGTGTAAACGAATTTAAGTTTGCAACATTCGACAGTAATTCCTTCGGTTTGTCTCGGGCTTGCCAATATTATGTTTCTGCCGCCATCATGATGACTGGCTGGTTCCAAAGCAACATCGCATTCCTCTGTATCTCTCGTCCCCTGACAATAGCGCTGGATTAGACTTGTGTTCAAAACACTTTCATTCAACTTCTAGGAAAAAGTTGAAGGGCCTCCCTCAGACCCCAAATGGATTAAGAAATGCCAGCTTGCACATTGTGGATTGTGAAAGCTACCGACCATCCCAAATAGTTGCAATGCAACACAACGAAATAGCCTGTAGTCTTAAACAGTTAGCGTAGCGGGATAGGTTGGAATAGTTTGATTTATTTCCCTAACTTACAGGCACCTGATAATGATAACGATAATGATAATAATTTTTATTTAATGCCAGTTTACAGGCATTGTCAGGGAAGCCTTAAACACAAATCAGGCCACCAATGAAAAAAAAAACTCCTGTGGGAAA